TTCTTTTCAACCACAATTCCAAAACAGCATCTTATTTCACTAACTTATAATTTAGCAAATTTTTATTTATTGTTACTTTTTTCAGTTTCTAGTTATTTCAGTGACTGCTGTAGATTTAGATTTTCTTTAATAGAAGGGGATGAATACATCGGTAAGATTAAATGCACAATCTTTCTTGTTACTTTAAAACAACCTAAAACGTTGTCTAAAATCATTCTACATAAAGTAAAGTATATTTCAGATTATAGGGCATTTAAATTATTTCTTTTTATGACAATAGAAATCACTGTATATCCACTGTTTTATATAAAAATGATAAATTTTATGGATTCCAGGGAACAAACCAACAAACTGTTTATCAAGTCAAGGGGCAAAAAAATGGCCTGAATTCAAAGTCGTGTTTGTGTTTGGAGCCAAAAACACATTAAATTTAATAACTGAGTGTATCAGTGGGTGATGCTGGTTGTGTTTGAGCCCTTTAGTTTCTGTTTCTGTTGCCTGATGTCACCTGAACGCATCACCGATCTGACTCTGTTGGACCTGTTAGCAGCTACAAACAAGTCTGAACCGCACATGGCATTAATAAAGAGAGCTGACAGGGAACCAGAAGAAAGCCGTCCGTGCAGCTTGTGTTCTCTTTGTCGTTGTATTTGTGTGTCTTTATTTGCAGACCGACAAAAGGTTTCTAAAGGCTAAAACAGCCACCGTGTCGGATCATTCAGTCACTTCTAAACAGAAGATTTTTCTTTCACCTGCTTCTTTTCAAACAACGAACGACTATAAAAACATCTGATAATCGCACATGAATAGAAATAAAATTCAGTTAAACAGTGTTTGCTTGTGACAAACCGCGACGGCGTTAAAGAGTTACGTGAGGTTTTACTGCTGTTTTGTGTTTTAAAGTCTCATTTTTCTAAAATGTACCAAAAATAAACAGCAAGACTCTGTAAAAAAAAAAACTGCTGATGTTGTGCTTCTCACTGCAGACGTGAAGCCATCAGTGACTCAGGTAAAATATCTGGAGCATGTCGAGTCCATCTGGACCACCTGGACCACCTGGACCACCTGGGGGCACTTTTTATGATTATATATATATGACTTTATGTTGCAGTGAAAAATGAGTCCACAGTGAGTAAAATAGTGACAGGAGCAAAACAAAATGCCCAGAAACTGCTCAAGTTTCAGGATTAATTCAAGTTTTTTTTCCTCACAAAACTTCACAAAATTCAAGGTATTTAGAAAACTACTGTCCATGTTTTAATACATTTTACTGGACTGTTCAGGCTCCCCAGAGGATTCTTTACATCAAATAGACACAAAACAGGCCGTATAGCATCCCAGGTAAATAACGAGACAGACATACGGCGGTGGTTCTTGACGTTAGACATCAGTAAGACAGATTAGTTAATGAGGTTCTAAACACTGAGGATACCGGGCCGGGCCGGGCTGTGTTCTGACCTGCTGTCTTCAGGCTGAGGTTCTCTCTGATCTCCTCGTGGTCACATGGATGGGTGAAGTCAAAGATGCTGTGACCTGTGAGCTCCACCTGGAGAACCAAACAAAAACCGCCATGAAACAGGAAGCTGGCGTCCGTCCTGCTCCTGAGTCTGTAAAACCTGGAAAGTGTGTCGCCTCCGGAGACACAGAATGAAAACACAAACGATGAAGCCGTGCTCTACGATTTACAGTCAACTCTCCCTCTTCTTGTGTGATTTGCTTTCCGGGCTGGTGCCAGAAGGTGGAACCAGCGTCTGGACTGAACAGCTGACCCGGGAAGCATTTCACACAAACACAACAAAGTCATCGGACTGATGCTTAACGTCCACGTGTCTGGTCTGTCTGCCTGAGCTCAGGGCGTCTCTGAAGTCTGTCTTCAGGGACATTTTACAAATTAGAAGCTTTATAGTCATTTTACTGCATCATGAAGCTTTGAAGTAAAACGTGCAAAACAAAAACAATAAAACACGTCGACAAACCAACACGACCTGCTCAGGGTGCTTCATGTTCTCATAGTTCTACACAGAATGCTTTTTAAATGTGCATTCATGTTGTTCCAGCGGTGTCTGTTTGTAAAGGACCCTGCTGCACCAGGACTGTCCTGGAGCTCCCACAGAAGCATCTCACACTTCATGACCACATCTACAGTCATCTCTATGGGTGTTTAATGCAGTAAGAACTTCAGGCCAATCAGAGTTGGTCCAGCAGAAAAGTTTTGACATTAAACTGTTCCTTGAGTACAAAGTGAGGCTTTGTCTGCTTATATTCAGTGCTTCTTCCTGCTTCACACTCAGATCTTTCTCCACTGACTCATCCTGAGACGTCATCGCTCAGAAAGCCTCAAATTTCAAACAAAAACGAGCTGAAAGCAGGCAGACGGGCAACTTTTAGTCAAAATGTTTTATCTCAGAAAACGTTTGACGTGTGGAGCTTCTACTGTGCAGGTATCTTTATAAGAGTTCATAGTTTGTGCTGTAAAGTGTCAGAACAACAGGAGGTGGTGGAGCAGACCTGTGATGATCTGATGGGATGTCTTCCCATAACAGCATTTACTCAAACTGCACCAACATCCAAACTAAATCGAGGCTCGTGTCCCTCCCCGTTTGTTTCTGCTCGTGTACCTGCGTGAGCCCCATGAACTTGTTGATGTTCTCGGACAGGAAGATCATGTCGCCGTCCGACGTCACCACGGTGACGAAGCCCTCCAGAGACTTCAGGTACATACTGTCCATCTGTCCGTCCTCGTCGCCGCCGTCGTCACTGCTGCTGCTGCTGCTGCTGCCGCCTGGAGGGAGAGCAGACGAGGTTACACTCACTTGTCCTGATTACAAACGGACATCTCTGTGTGTTTGTGTTGTTTGTCCAAAGCGTTTGGCCCACGGACAGAACAAACCAGCGCAGCTTCTTCCTGCGGCTCCACATTACACCCAAACCGGACCGGCACCAGAATGACTAACAGGTTACACAGTGAGGCTGGAACACGATGCATCCAAACACTCAGAGACTCAGTCGGTCCGCAGAGTCTGGGTTCAGAGCTAATTGATATAAAACCCGTTGAGGAGGGAGTGTGTGTGTGTGTGTGTGTGTGTGTGTGTGTGTGTGTGTGTGTGTGTGTGTGTGTGTGTGTGTGAACAAAGCCCAGTAGTCGACGGGGTGGAGGAGGAGGAGGAGGAGGGAAGGGGGGAAGCTCGCAATTCCTCCAGTGTGCTTCCCTAAGATAAGAGAGTCCAGTTCTCAAGGCTCCCGGCGAGGCCCGGGGCTCGGGTTTGGACCCGGGCCCAGATGGCCGGAGCTCCCGGGAGAGCCGAGGGGGAGACTCTCGGGGTCCGGTCCAGAGACCAGCACCACCTTTGGCCTAAATACTGAGCCGTGATTAGCAGACGTCATTTGGACCGAGTTACACTTTTCTTCTGTGGTTGCGTAACCGCCCCAGTTTGTAAGAAAAAAACAGAACTAATGGGGAGCAGAACAGAGGCGCTGTTCAGATAATCGCTGCCCTTCCTGGGTTCTGATGTTTGCTCTGTCGCAGAACGAAGCAGAGACTTTAGTTAGAGGTCTTCTTCTCTGGCTGCTGCTCTCGTGACGGTTTCAAACAGAAAAGACTTGAAAGGACAGAACTCAGGGCGTGTTGGACCCAAAGAGGAGCGCCAGAGGAAGCCGTGATAACATCATCCAGCCTCTGATCTTGGAGAAGAAAATACAGGAACCAAGTTATAAAACAAGCAGGGAGCTCGAGTTAGCGTCTAGAAGCTGTTAAAGTCGTGTTTTAGTTCATCTCTGTCGGCTTTTAATCCCAAACATGTGAATAAATCACACTAGAGGGATGAAACCCTGATACCAGTTAGGCCACTTCTAAAGCCAGTCATCATGTTTGAACTGGAACATTTACTACTTTATCTCATTTAAGCTTCATTTTTGGGATCTTATTTGTTTTTTTAACTTATGATAACGTAATAATTTCTAACTTGAATCATGATATTCACTTAAAATCAGTATTTCATTTTTTAAGGTAATTTTATTTTTCCAACACATGACGGTGTCACATGTCTGATATTAAAACGCCAATAAGACAGAAGCTGCTTTAATGCTTTTATCCAGAATAAACACATTGATCACGATCCTAGTGCGTATATGAATGAATAATCAGACGTAAAGCAGAATAAAAACCAGACGACAGCCGTGATCCAGCTGCTCTGAGCACGTTTTAAACTACAGCAGAGTTATTAAGCTGAGCTCAGTTGATCCCATCTGATCAAAATAACTGAATGCTTTCATGTAAACTATTTTGTTGTGATGAATTCCTGCAGTTACATCAGAACCACAGGACGGTTCTGGACGTCTCTGCTCACAGAACAAACGGGCTGCATGTTCTGATCAGAAAGCGTTTGGACGAGTTTCCAGTGCAGCAGCTTGGTTCAATGCTGCTAATAAGCGCCTGTAAGTCAGAACACAGATGTTTGGAGTGTGTCTGATCCGGTCGGGTCTCGGTGGGAAACACGTCTCTGAGTTCCTCCTAATCACAGCATCAGAGCTGCTCAGACTCAGGCCCAGGCCGCCTTGCATAACCGAGGTGTTCCCTTGCTTGCATATGTGCTCCTGGATGCATATGCAGCGCCTCGGTGTGTGTTGGAGCGTGCACGGCGGGCGTGCACGCCAGCATGTTTGGCGCCACGGCGGTGGGGTGTTATGGCTAGCGGGGCAACGCCAGCACCAGCCGGCCGCTGGGCAGAGCTGCAGCTTCCTCCCTAATCTGTGCTGCCATCACGGAGCAATCAGACGCAGCCGATAACGCTCAATCTGCCGCCGCATCTCACGGATCTCCCCCGTCCTCACCTCCCCTCTCACCCCCAGCAGCTCCACCAGAGACTCGCTGACCTCCAGCTCCGTGCACACATTCGTCTGTTTGGCTCAGAGACGAAGCGGCCCAGTTCCACCACATGCATCGTGTTCTTTGTGTGTCACAGGCACATATCTCTAAATCTGGGAACTCGAAACTGAAGCTACTTGCAAAACTAGATACAGCTGAGCTCTTGTCAAGCGAAACGCGTTTCAAAACACACCAGCGAGTAAAACATGGAAAAACAGTTGAAGCTGGTTCAACTTTCTGAACTAATCATGAGTGACATGCAGCTTTGTTGAGCTGAGGCCTTAAATTGTCATTATTATCAAAAAAAGTAAATTTGTTCTACATGTCTTACGTAAAAAAAACATCTGCACCAGATTCTATAACAAAATCATTATATTCTATGTGCCTCTTTTTTTTTTTTTTTAATCCTAAAAACAAGCAGTCGTCTCACTGAGATTCTGTAAAAAATGGAAAGTTTTGGACTCCGTGGTGCTGCCGTGAAGCCACGAGTGACTCAGCTGTGACCGACAGTCAGGCAGGAAAAATTCAGGAACTTTTCGCTTAAAGACGAGTTTAGAGATTTAAAACGTAAGCAGTGAGACATCTAAACCAAGACTTCTTTTCTAGCAGCAGCTGTGTGCTCCTGGAAACATGCTGCACATGTTGAGACCAGGTTTATTCATTTATTTCTAAAATAAATAATCAAAGAAATTCAACTTTAGTTTTTTAATTTCAGACTTCAAATGTATTAATTTTACTCCAGATAGTTGCAGCAAAATGCAATTTGTCATAAAAATGTTTTTTACAGTCGTACAAATGAACTATTTTACACTAAAGCAATAAGAAGAGATGCATTTATTCAGGTTTATTCATGTGATGATCAAGTCGACTGTTTTTGCAGTTTAGATGATTTCTTTTCATTTTCCACTTTTCTTTTTTGTTCTTCCTGTGATTATTTTTCTCCTTCTACCCGTGGAGCTCTCGGCGCTGCTGCATAAATAAAGCAGTGATATATTAATGCGCTGATTAATGAGGCTCCATTAATCAGGAGAAATGGGAAGCGGTTCTAGTTTAAGGAAGGCCGGCTGTATACGTCGCTGCTTCCTCCGCCAAACAATGCAAAGCACTTCATCTCCAAAAATGAAAAATACGCCGGCGATAAACAGAACATCAGAAAGTTACATAAGAGAAGAATGATGGCGGATTAAAGCGGCAGCTGGTGGCGCGCTGATGCTCAGATAAGGTCCTATTGATTGAGACACTTTCCTGCTTCGCCGCCATGTTGTTCGTACGGCGAGCTGCTGAGCTGCCAGTCATTGTTCAGCTGCTTCCAAACGATCACATCAGCAGCTTCCAGAAACGGAGGAAGACACGCAGCAGCACAGAATCACAAATGGAAATGCTGCAGACGTAAGAAAGCTAAAAGGTCGACGTTGACCTGTGTGATGATGAAACAGCAGATGTAGCTGAGTGCAGGTTTCACTGAACACTGACATGTTTTTATAGACTTTTGGGGCTTTTTGTCTTTATTCAGAGCATCAGACAGACAGGAAGCAGGGAGAAGAACAGGGAGAGACCTGCAGCAGAGGGTCGTGAGCGGGACTCGAACCAACGACCGCTGCATCAGGAGCTACAGGCTGTTCATGGGTCGCCGCTCGGCTCGGCTCGGGGAGCTAACGAGGTTCCGACGTGTTCTGGTTCTGACTGAGCTGTGAGGAAGTCTAACGGCATTCCTCTGCTGTGTGAACTTTTTTTTTCGCAGCTCTGTTGTGGAAAAACAAACTTTTTTTTTGTTGTGTTCACCTCTGACGCTGCGGCCTTTCATTTCTCTGATCTCATTTGGAGACGCGGCGCAGAACAATAGGTCTGCTTGTTTGTTCCTCAGCTGCTAATTATAACCGAGACGAGGCGAAGGAGGCTGAAGGAGGCCGACGGAGGCCGACGGAGGCCTTTCCTACGCTGGTGGACGATCAGACGCAGAATCAAAATCAATGTTTACATTTAAAAGAACAATTAAAACATGTTAATTATGTGTAAAGACAGTAAATCATCATGTCATGTGTTCTGTTTTATTTTTTTTTAATAAAAGAAGTATAAAGAAAATAAAGTAAAACGTGACTGTCGGCTATTTCATGTTGTTGTTTTGTTATGAATATGTTGATGTTTATTGTGTTGTTGATGCTTTTTGTCATTTAAGTTGCTGTAAATGTATTTCTTTGGGTAACGGAGGCAGAAAGCTTCAGATTGTTTTTCTTTCTGCTGCTTTTCATTCAGGAATCAGGAAAGTCTGGGTCGTGTTTAACTTAAAGAAAGAAGAAGACACGCCGATCTGTTCTTCTACGTGTGTGTGTGTGTGTGTGTGTGTGTGTTTGTGTTTTAGTGTGTGTGTGTGTGTGTGTGTGTGTGTCCGTACTGGTGGCGAGCAGCTTGCGTGTGCGCAGGAAGCTGATGGCCAGCCTCATGATGGAGGCCTTGTCCAGGTGCGAGCTGACGCTGTGCGGCAGCGGCAGCTGGTGCGCCAGCTCGTAGAAAACCTCCGTCTCTTTGCTGCGTCGGCATCGGGCTGCGTCCCGAGACTTTTCCTTGCGCCGCTCCGAGCTGCTCCTACACCAGAAAACACAAACAGGGAAACTTTCAGAGTTCAGTTTCTGCAGCTGCTTGGTTCCTCCAGAGCTAATGATGCTGCAGAGGAGTGGAGTCAGACGACAGCATCGTATGGAGACAGACACACAAACACAAAGCAGTAAAACTCCTGTTATGGAGAGCTGACATGTTTGCTAGCGTCTGTGTGAACTCAGAAACATGCTGTGCACGCTGATCACAGCTGTTTATTGTTGTTCTTTATTTCTGTAAAATAAATAAAGTTGTTTTTTCTGATCTGTGGCGCTAAACCTGGTTCAGCTGCACAGAAAGCATCTAAAAACACACAACCATGGAAACCAAAGATAAACCAGTCAGCTGATGGTTTCAACTGGAAATCCATTTGCTCAGGTTGACGTGTGCTCGATTTATTCAAAAATAAAAAGTAGAAAAACATCAATATTATAGAAAGTTTACATGTTTTAAATGTTGTTGTTTTGAACTCTAGTTTTTTGGGGATTTCTGTGAATAAATAATCAAAGAAATTCTGTTTTTTTTTCTTCTTTTTTTATAGTTTATAGCATTAAACTTTCATCCTTTCTGATTTCCAAAACAACCCGCGACCGTCACACGGTTACGAGACAGAAATCAGCCGGTTTGCTGAAAGCCAATCGTTTTATTACGCATCATGCTTTAAAAGTTCACATCTTCTGTTTGCTGATGTCTGACGTGTTTGGTTCTCTGGTACAGAAGCTGTTTGTGGATGATCACAGCTCACTGTGTGGAGTTTCACCAAACCTCCCCGTCAGGCATCAGACACCGTAAAGAGCTGACCTCATAAAAACCCATGTGAGCTTCACGGTGAGCTTCACGGTGAGTTCCATAGAACTTCCCTCACAGCGTCTTTGTGTGTAAATACGGGAAGTTTTTCTGTCTGACAGATTTTTCAGTAAAGTCCCGTTTAAACCCACACATCTGATGGAAACACCACCTCTATGACCCGTCATGTGTCGTCCTGTTGGCCTGAGATGCAGCTACATGTGGGTCCAGTCTGATATCAGGATGCTGAGTCGGTTAAAGCTGCACATAAACGCTGCCGAGTCACAGAAAGACAACTAAAAATACAGAAAAACAGAAAGAGCCTTTTCCTCCTGAGTGAAGAGCTTCCATCACCAGCATCAAGTCACTGAGACACACCTTCACCTCACTCTCTCTTTCTCATCACTTATTTGCTGGTTTTATATAAAAACTCCAACAGCTGGTTTAAAATCACCAATCAAAGCAGGAAACATTCACCCAATGAGAACAAACCTGCTGAGTTAGACGCCACAGAGACAGAAGCTGGATCACAGCATGAAAACCAGAAACCTAAACACGTCCAAACAGACAGAAAACGTGACTTGATGCTTTTAAACCAGCGTTTCACCTTCAAACAGACTGCAGCCCTACATCACACAGAATGAGGAGAAACGCTGCGTATCTGTTTCTGAACATTATTCGTCTGATGACGAGTCTGTTGCCTCCATTTTCTCTGACGGATTTTAAATCACATGGAAACTTGAATGATGGTGTTTTAGCAACAGCCCTGCCTGTGGTGTTTGTTCAGCTCGTTCAGTTCTGATTCTGGACCGGGTCAGAGCCTGTTGAGCAAAGTTAAACGTGACCTTTGGAGGACGCTGCATGGTTAAAGTCCACGTGAGGGTTTAATAGACGGAGTCCTGCTTAAAAACAGCCACGAACAGAAATATTAGCTGAAGCGATCAAACTGGGATCAGAACATCTCAAACAGTCTGTGAACACTACCAGAGACAGCCAGCAGGAATCTGGTGGTTTCTGGTTCTGTGTTCTCAAATCAAACGAGTCCAGAGGTTCATACAAGGACGTCACACGTTGATCATCAGCTGACCTGAGCTCAGTGTTCAGGTTCATATGAACAGAGAACAGCTGGACGAAGGATGGAAACGAAGGTCCATGGATGAAGAGTTCAAACAGAAAACTCCATTTCTGTAGATTCACAGAAAACTTTTGTTTGTTTTCTTGAGATGATATCAGTCAGACTGAAGCTGAGTGGATGTGACTCAGTAGGAATGACGACAGCAGAGAGAACTGAAGCTTGATGTTGTCTCAGGTGGACGATGGATCAGAGGGTTTATGAAGGTCTGTGGAGGTGGAGCGATCTGAACTCTTTACATATGAACATCATCATGAATATAAAGCCAGAGAGTCGTCCTGCTGCGTTAAACCAGAAGACGGAGCAGAAGCTGGACGTCCTGCATCCAGCCGCCTCAGAAACAGAACATGAAGGAAATAAATGATAAAATATCACATTTCTCTTCTGCTCAGTGACAGTAAGAGTTCTTGTTCAAAATAAGGACATTATAAAGAAATATTTTACATCAGTTGTGAAATAATCAAAATCTTTTGAAACAAACTGATTTTCTGCATAAATAAACTTTATTATTGTTGTTGTTGCTGTTACATCCTCATCTTATTAAAACAGGTGCTTTTATTATTTTTTGTTTTTAGATATTTGTTTATCAGTATACTGTATTATTATGATTAATAATTATAANGTCGTCCTGCTGCGTTAAACCAGAAGACGAAGCAGAAGCTGGACGTCCTGCATCCAGCCGCCTCAGAGACGGAACATGAAGGAAATAACTGATAAAAAAAATCACATTTCTGTTCTGCTCAGTGACAGTAAGAGTTGAAAGAAGATAAAGTTATTATTATTATTACTGAGAGTGTTTGGTTCAAAATAAGGACATTTAAAAGAAATATTTTACATCAGTTGTGAAATAATCAAAATCTTTTGAAACAAACTGATTTTCTGCATAAATAAACTTTATTGTTGTTGTTGCTGCTGTTACATCCTCATCTTATTAAAACGAGGAGCAGTGAGAGTGCTAAATTACAAAAATAAATCAATAAAAGAATAATAAAATAAAAATGGAAATAAAAAGAAGAATAAATAAAATATAAAATAAATCATGTAAAAAAAATATTTTATTTATTCTTGTTCTGGACTTTGCAGTTTGAATTTAAACTTATTTACCGCTGAGACGATGTAAAGAATAAACCAGCAGCAGTCGGATCAGTGATCAGTGACGGACGTCTTCAGATGTCACTGAGATGTGTTTCCAGGTGAAGGCAGGAGCTTCTCTCTGAGCTCCTGACCTGCCTGCAGGCTCCAAGACCACATCTACAACCACGACACCCGAGGTGTGGCTCTGCTGGATCCATGACACGATGCCGTTCATCAGACTCCAGCACATCTCTGCAGAAGCGAGAGCAACCGGACTTAACGGAAACACGTGCATGCTGGCTGTAGAAGGCCTGCGCCGCTCCGAGATAAGAAACCGAGTCGGTGCCAGATTAAATAATGATGTGATGAAACGCTGCAAACCAAACAAACCGAGTCCAAAACAGGTCGCATCATTTAAAGCTCTCAGGAACAGCCAGATGATGTTGGACTTGTTCCTGTTTCAAGCTTCTACCAGGTCAAACAGCAGAAAACAGCAGAGGAGCAGAATCCTCCTTGAAGCCCTCAGAGAAGGTTTCAACCATAAAGGACCTTCTGCTCACCGACACGGAGCCAAATGTCAGCACAAATGTCAGCCGTGTGTTTGGGACACACAGCAGTGGATATATTTAGCTCAGTGTGGAGTATTTCCTACAGCAAAACGTGTTTTACTTCATTCTTATACTTCAAACAGGTCATTACTGTACATCTGAATACAGCAGAACATCTGACTGTCTGCAGACTGTCCAACAATTCACTGCATTTTCACATGTAATTAACAGTAAATTACATGATTTCCTCTTTTGAAAACGTAGAAACGAGGCCGTAAGTTGCAGAAAAGTTCCATAAATATCAGTGTTTACGTTGAAATAACTATAATTAACATTTAAAGATGCATTAAAACAAATAAAAGAGTGAAGGAGGAAACATTCGGTGAGTTTTCATGGAAACGTTTTGTAGTTTATTATGTGTATGTTAGAAATCAAGGAGGAAAGTATTTACCAAGAATAGATGGCCTTCTCATGATGATTTGATCCTAAAAATCTGTTTTTTTTCACTTTTTTTGAGTTAAAAAACCCAAAAACCAGCAGAGAACCATCAGAATGAGGCTGTATTTGATATAAAACTCCATCTGCGTGATGCTTTCTGCTCATTTCTAACCGGGTCAGATCCAGACCAGAACCATGTTCCTGCTCCATCACTCATGTCTCGACTCGCCTGAACACAATCATAAAGACATTCATCATGTTCTGGATCCTGAAGGACAATCAGTGAGATCTGTTGACAGAGAACATTTTGCAGATATTTTTAAATGGGTCCAGCTTCGTCTCTCAGCGTCAACAGGAACCAAAGCGCTGAAACGCTGTCCCGGATTGTTTCTGGAGGTCAGTGAGTCCAAACGGGCCGAGGCCAGCGCTCGTCTCTTTGATGCCCTGCAACGCTCACGACTCCACGAAATCCCGCTTCCACCGCCGCATTCAACCCGTTAGCATCATTCATACCGATGCAGCTCCACGTCAGGACCTGAACGCTGTGCAGGAAACGTTCTGATGGTGTTACATGTTTATTTACTGGACTCGTTAATGAACATATGAAGTGGAATAAAAACTGCTTTCCTCTTTTATGTTCTTCAAAAGTGGGAGAAGGTTCAAGTTTTCATCCGGCTGCACAAACTTTGAATCTTCTGTTGAGTGCTTCGTATAAAGAACGTCTTCCTTCCTGTCTTCGCTTTTTGCTGTTCTACGTGTTTTTATATTTAATAAAATTCTAATTATTTCCATACTGTATTTGTCAGTGAGGCTTTGTCTTCACTTCCTATTATAAGAAGTATTATCGTCTATTTCTGTCCTCCTGAAGCACAAAGTATGACTAAATAATAAACGCTGCGTCTGTCTCCTAATGCTACGTTTTTATTTTTATTTTTAATAAAACACAGTCACACTCAGACAACAGCCAACCAGACACGTGTTTTTAAAATCGATTATTGGTTTGAGTTTTTTAT